TATCGTCTCCACCAAAAGGAACCAAGGCTTCTTGGAGAAATGGTTAATTCCAGGACAGGGGCAGGAATATGCAAGCAGCCTGGGGCATGTAGTGGGACCAGAAAGTTTAAAAGTACCAAAGTAATAAAATAACATGGTTATGTCAAAGGGACATTAGAGCCAACGAGAATAAAATAATCTGCAGTAATACAATAATTTAATTTTCTGTTCAATTCTGGACTGCACATTACTGAGTGTTGGCTTTGTCACTAGAGTCCCAATATCCAAAGCCACATAAAACTTCCACTGGTTTTGATAGAATCCTTTGCGTTTGTAAGTGCATAGGTGCATTTTACATCTGGGACCACATCTGCCTGCGGGCAGGGAGAGCATGGTCTTCCGGGCCGAGCACCGTGATGGACAGCAGGAAGCTTAGTCCCTGGGTCTCGGAAGTCATCTTGCAACCCCGAGTCTTACTTCTTTTAAATTGAAGGCTTTTGAATAGAGGCCAGGCCTATAACCCAAAATATAAATTAAGTTTTGGGGAGTCCATATTGATATAAATACGATTGGATAAATTGAAGAGGAGTGACAAATCTCCCATATAGAAGATTCCAAATAAATTATATAGGAATTCCCCTCTCAAGGACGTAGAACGTAACTTTACCCCGTAGGTATGAGCTGGGGAGAATGATTCCTTTCCAAAGACAAGGGGGAGAGGGAGCAACTCTACACTCAAAGAAACCTAGCAAAAAACTGTCTTGACCAGGTTGTCAAAATAGCATCATCGAGGATAAGTGTGCTGACAGCAGGTACCCTTGATTGAGAAAGTGCTTTTACCTCTGTCATCTTTCTCCCAGACCCATAACCCTAGTCTAAGCATAAGAAAAACATTCCACAAAACATCCTATTCTCAAATAAAGTAATGTGGCCGAAACCGGTTTGGCTCAGTGGATAGAGCTTCGGCCTGCGGACTGAAAGGTCCCAGGTTCGATTCCGGTCAAGGGCATGTACCTGGGTTGCGGGCACATCCCCAGTAGGAGATGTGCAGGAGGCGGCTGATCGATGTTTCTCTCTCATCGATGTTTCTGACTCTCTATCCCTCTCCCTTCCTCTCTGTAAAAAATCAATAAAGTATATTTTTAAACAAAATAAAGTAATGTGAAGGCAATAAGCTCAGGCACATGCCATTTGGTTTCTCTTAAATCGTTGCAATTATAGCACAATCCTGGAATGACCACGTTCAGAATATGCAGCAGTTTCGAGCCACTTGAGTTGTTTTTCTGACAGCAGAGTCCTCACGTGGTGGGAGAAGCCAGGCGTGCGGTTGCTGAGTTATGGAAGAGACACATGTAGCCAATTAGATGAGTAAAGTCCAGTGAATGAAGTCTTGGCAGGTCCAAGAAAAAGTAAGAAGCAGAAGTTAAAGACGCCACAGTGATCAACAGTAGCTGGTTCTGAAAGCACTTAGACCTTTAGTGTTTCTTGGGGGCAGGGCATGCAGTTGTACCACACCTGACGATTTTGCTCCCTTGGCCCGATTTGAAACCTATTTCTATCTACTTTCAGTGGCGTTTCATTTTGTTTTGCTTTGGTAAATGTAACGTTCTTAGACTGTAATGTCTACTGGACTTAAATGAACCCCTGAAACGAAAGCTGTGGCTTTCTGCTTTATCCGAAACCCAGAACGAGGGTGATAAAAGTGGACAAAACCGGCAAGTCATCATCAGCAGATAAATCACAGGCTTCCTCGTTGTCTTTAATGCGCATTTGCTTTGAGTGCATCATTTAAACACCTGTCGCATTTAAGATTTTCTGCAGCTGCTAAAGCCTAGAAAACTTGTTTCTGCTCTGAAAT